TGCATTGAATGTTGATGAAAATGACAATGGTGATGATGATGTTTCTCCTACTCAAGCTACCAATAGTGAAGGATCCACTGCTGCTAGAAACAGGACTGCAGAGCAAGGTGAGAGAGAGATGACTCGCAAAAAAACCATCAACGCTGTAGCGCCGCACTCCCAACGCTGCAACGTTGATGCTACTGCTTTCACCAAGGGGACAGCGCTAGGACATGCACCAAGCAGTGGCATCAATGCTGCAGCGCTGGGAGTGTGGCGCTGCAACATTGATGCTACTGCCTTCACCAAGGGGATAGCGCTGGGACATGCACCAAGCAATGGCATCAACGCTGCAGCGCCACACTCCCAACGCTGCAGCGTTGATGCTACTGCCTTCACCAAACAGCAGTCCCAGCTAAGCCCATGGATTTGCAAGCTATATATATCCTCTGAATTCAATCCTTGGGAGAGGATGAGGCTTGGGAACTTTTTTGTAATCGAGCTTTTTCAAGCAATCTCGGTGGATGTCCATCATATCTTGATTCATTGGCAAGGAATCTAATTGAAAGATGTAAACGCCTGCCCATGGATATTGTGGCTTTAGGCAGTTTGATGTCTTCTAAGAAATCAATAGCAGAATGGAAGAGAACTTGAATTGGGAGCTAAGTAATAATCGTGCACTTGAATTAATGAAAATCATCTTACTGCTTGGCTACCATGATTTGTCTTTCCAACTCAACCATTGCTTTTTATATAATTGTATTTTTCCAGAAGATCATTAGATTGATCGAAAAACACGTAGGGGAGAGTTCTCATCTCTCCTGACTCCTTTATCAAAGAGAGTTCTCATCTCTCTTGACTCTTTAATTTTTTTTAATTTTATTTTCTTATTAATCGGTTGAACTTGTATTTAATTTTATAAAATAATTTTTATTAAATAATAACTTTACTGCAAAATTTGCTATAAAAAATACATGTTAAACTTATATTTTAATATATAAGGGTAGCTTTGAAAATTAATATTACATTCCCTGTAAAGTATTTATAAAACAAACACTGCAATGTTATCTTCTTTATATTTTAATCATTACATTACTTATATACCAAATACTGTAATGTTATCTTCTTTGCAATCACATTGCTTGCAATCACATTACCTGTAATTACATTGCATTGTAAAATACTAAACGCCACCTAATTTTCTTCATATTTTTAGTAATATATTAATGGGTTGACAGAGCAATTTTAGTAAAAAGGATAATTATTAGAAGTAGTTGTGTCATGTTCAATAACATATTCATTTCCCCTTTCACCACATTTGTTTTTACTTGTTTCTCTTTTTGAATTTTGGTTTTTAGATGATTAAGGTATACAAAAGATATACTAGGAAAAATACATCAAATCTAATACTCCTACCATTTTAAATTAACTTTTGATTTCATTTTAATTCTCTATTTCTTTTTTCTTTATTTTGATAGTATTTAATTTAAAACTCTTTTAATTTTATAATTCCTTTTCACGTAGATTGTACTATTAAATTCATTACACGATACCATTATCCAAAAAATATTTTTTTAAAAAAAAATACATGTTGAACCAAACACGACAATATAAATTTGCTAAAAGATACCAAGTTTATTAAAAAGTATTTAACCATCAAATAAAATTTTAAATTACTAGTTTATGTATTTTCTCATTTACTAGTGAATAAAAGTGATTCTTTAATAAAATTTGATTATAAAATTTCAATATTATCTATAATTAGATATAAGATAAAATAAATATATAATTATAATGCATAACATCAAAGCAAATACATGGTTTTGAAGAATAGTTTTGTCATAGATGTTGAATTTCTTTTCTTTTCTTTTCCAGAGAAATTCAGCCTATAAAAAAACTTTTAATGACAATAATTGGTCAACTCATATAGAAATATATGGTCTTATTTACCAATGAAGTGTCACCAAAGGTTACATTTTTCTAATTTGTAATACCCTTTTTTTTTTGCCGACAATTTTCCAAAGCCACATGGCATTCTAACAAATCGGTGGGCGGGATTGCCTCCTTTCAATCAAAGTGCACATGACATGACAAGTTTTTGGGAGAAACTTCATCAATTTTAATTTAATTTTGACTATTATTTTAAAAATATATATAAATTTTTATATAATATTTAAAAATAGCCAAAATTGAATTCATTTGATTGTAAATAGCAAACAAGTGTAAATACAATGAGATAGGAAAAATAAATTCAAGAATTGTTTTCTTTTAATAAAACATGAGTTTTGAATTGCTATTAATTGATTTTAGTGAGTTGATGCCCGACAATCAATCAACGTCATAGCATCATCTAGAAAATGAAATGTGTCCAATAATCATAGACCTTCCATCTAAATTAAAACTATGTATATGTTTATAATATATAGATACGAAGATATTAGAACTATCACATAATACATTATAATTATTATAAAATTTACGCATGAAAAGGTGAGTTTTAACCTTATTGGCGGTCTCGATAATGGGTTTAGAGCATGGAGATTTTTTTTTCTATTTTAATTATGTTCCTTTTTTGGCTATAAAAGTAATGAATATGGTGTAATTTGAAAAAGAAAAATTGCAACCACACATTTCAATATAGAATGGGAATTTACCAAAACCCCCCATTTCCCAAATAAGAAATGCTAAATTATTATTAGGTTGAAAGCATTGTTTCAAGAAACAATGTGCATATCGAAAATCACAGTATATAATAAGGTAACGAAACTAATATTAAATGCACAATTTTTGTTTTTAAAATTGTGTTATGCTTAAAACAAAGTCTACCTGACAATGAAAACTATTAGTATTAATGTGGATTCTTTTTTTAAATAGAGAGATTATATATCAATTAATGAATTAAATGTTTGGATGCATCAATATTATAATGGTTATTAGTTAATTTAGATGAATAATTAAAGTTTAAATGTCCTAAATTATGTATAATATATATATTCTTAACAAAAAAAATTCTTTTATTTGTATTTAATATTTTCTTTTATAATTTTACATTACATGTCTAATCTTAGACTATCTATCAAAAATCTCAAATCATAAACAAATAACCTTATTACAAGAGTAATATTAATATAAGAAGGTAGAGGTGGTGGCAAGGGAAGACCACAGATCGAGTGGAAGGGGAAATCAACTTCAAACAAAGAAGGTAAACCTCGCAATTGTTTAGATGTGAAAGAACTTCACTTGATTCTGAATTTGAACATTTTATTAAAATTCAAGTTTTCAAACACGTAAGATAGATTTACATAAAAAAAAACCAAATTGGACACCAAAATGAGTTAGAATTTAGTATTTTTTAATTAATGTGATATATTATTTTGTAAATGATGTATAAACCCACATTAATGGTAAATTATTTAATTTATCAGAAGAAAATAATAATAATAATAGAAAAACGAAAGCCTCAATTTCATTCAAAGCTCATTTACTAACACGGTATGAACACACGTTAAAACACTTCATAAAAGGAATACAAATTACATGAGGATTTGAAACGTTGGTTTCTTAAACTTTATAATTAATTACATTAGAATATTCTAAGCTCATTATTTTTTTTAAAGAATTCTAAATTCTGTCTCAAAAAAGTATAGATTAATATCAAAATTAACTATATAATTATTGTAAATTATTAATTGTATTTTGTTATCATATATAGTAACATAATTTAAACTTTAGTTATATTGTTTGCTTGGTTTTCCTCTTCTTTGTATTTCCAACTTTAAAATGCTGACCTAAGTTTTATACCTTATAAATAAACTCATAAATTGACAACAACACATACCAAAGTAACCATAAAATAAAATTTTCCTTCCCCAAGTGGGCCCATTATGGCAAAAAACAAATGGCGAGTGGGACCGCGGATTCTGATCCAACGGTTGAAACGGTGGACCACTGATTAATCGCAACCATCGATAGCGTTATATGTAAACGTGGCGCGCATCGGGAACATCACAACCAAACCCAAAGAGAGGGACCCTTGCGAAACAGAACCCGAGTTGAAGAAAAAAAAGTAAAACTCGACAAAACCGGAAAGGCAAGGGCAAAATTCCGTAATAATGAAAAAATCCAAGGGCAAGATTAGGAAGTTCACAATATTTAGATGACAGCGACGCAGACGAGAAAGAGAGGCAAGAGAAAAAAAAAACATGAAGCTCGAACAGCAGCCTAAAAAGCCAACCAAAAAACCAAAAGAACCCTCTCCTCTCCCCCTTTAAAGGCTCTCATTTTTCTCTCTGTTTCCTTGTGGTTTTCTCTTGCTCTTGTTGTTGTTGTTCTTCTTCTTCTTCTCCTTGTATCGCACAATCTCATCTTCACAGATTCTTCCTCTTCTCGATCCCCCATCCCCCTTTACTGTAAGTCGTTTCTCTCTCTTCAGCTAATCTTTCAATATCTGAAACCCTAAATTTCCAATTCTGCCCTTGGATCTCTTCACTTTTTTGGTATTTTTTAAGATTCTTGATTTCTTTTCTTCTTTCCAGTCTGAATTGTACGAAGTATTGAATCATCGCGAGTCTATCTTTCTTGTTTGTTTGTTTGCTATGCTGATTTATTGTATTGCATGTAGATTATTATTCGATATGGTACTGGATTGGGAATTCGATTGTTGATCTTTTTTTGGAGATTTGATTAGGCGGTTTGGGTATGTTGATCTGATAAGCGGTCAAGGTTTATTTTGGTGATTGCTATATATATATATATATATTTTGGAAATTTGGGGGTTTAGATTGTCAAAGTAGTTAACTATTGGAGTGAATAGGGATTTTTAGGGTTTGGTTTGCGATTTATCGGAAATGAAGTATGAGATTTTGATTGTGGTATTCTTTTTGTAATTAGATTGGGATTTGTTGACGGTTTTGGTCATTGCAATGTAATGATAAAATGAAATTTTGAAGAATTTGTTGATTAATTGTTTTGATAATTCAATTGAGGTTCAGTGATGCAACTTGTAGATATTAGTACCCTTTTTGTTTATTTATTTGTCTCGGGGTTCAGGCAATCATGAGTGACGAGGGAGAAAAGACTTGCCCCCTTTGCGAGGAGGACATGGATTTGACTGATCAGCAACTCAAGCCTTGCAAATGTGGTTATGAGGTTGGAAGCAAATTACTCTTTTATTTTCTCTCTTACATTTGTTTGGCAATTCAAATCAGAAAAAGAAGTAAAAAGAAATGGTAAGTGAAAGAGGGAAAAAGGGGAGAATTAATATGTGCATAGGCCGGCCTTATCTCTATTGATCTTATTTTGTTTCAATCTCTGCTTTGTGGCAGATATGTGTTTGGTGTTGGCATCACATAATGGATATGGCTGAGAAGGATGAGACAGAGGGGCGGTGTCCAGCATGTCGTAGCGCTTATGATAAAGAAAGGATTGTAGGGATGGCAGCTAATTGTGAGAGGTAGTCAAGCTACCACACAGCTTATTCTTATTAAAGATATTGCAATATTTACTTGCCCTTGTCTCATGTGTAGATATATATATTCTTCTAAGCAGGTTGGTTGCTGAAATTAATATGGAGAGAAAGATGAAGTCACAAAAGGCAAAGACTAAATCATCTGAAGGAAGGAAGCAACTGAGCAGTGTGCGGGTGATTCAAAGGAATCTTGTTTACATAGTTGGGTTGCCGCTTAATCTGGCAGATGAAGATGTACTCTCTCTCTCTCTCTCTCTCTCTCTCTCTCTCTCTCCTCTTAATGCGTGCATTTGCAAGCCAACTCTTATACTCATCATTATCTAACCATGTATCTCTTTTGTTCAGCTTCTCCAGCAGCGAGAATATTTTGGTCAATATGGGAAAGTTCTTAAAGTATCTATGTCTCGGACTGCAGCTGGTGTCATTCAGCAATTTCCAAACAATACATGTAGTGTGTAAGTGCAGAAATCTCATGTATTTGGATTTTCATCTTCCAAATATTAAGATGTACCTGTTTTGCATAGCAGATCTTTGATAGAAGATATTATATCATGTAGTTGGATTTTTCAAAAACTGAAAGTAAATTTATCTTATTATATTGAAGATTTTAGTCTTCCTGCCTCTTTTTTGTTACTCTGTTATTAGTATGCTCTATTCAACTTACATTTGTTGACCCTATATACAGATATATTACTTATTCAAAGGAAGAGGAAGCAATTCGTTGTATCCAGTCTGTACATGGGTTTGTCTTGGATGGTAGACCATTAAAGTATGAGCATGTATATATGGAGTTTTCATTTTTTTAGTTTGATCCTTGTTGTCATCTATAATAGTTGGAATATTCATTTCAGGGCGTGCTTTGGTACAACGAAGTATTGTCATGCGTGGCTGAGAAATGTGGTATGTGTGAGAGTGATTTTTGGTTCATTTGTTTTATAAGTTGAAGAAAATATTATTTATTTATTGCTGCTATGTTTCAAAACTAGTATATCAAATGTAATTCTAATTGAAATTTATTTTTTGGGAGGGTTCAGCCTTGCAGCAATCCTGATTGTCTATATTTGCATGAGATTGGTTCTCAAGAGGATAGTTTCACAAAAGATGAGATTATATCAGCATACACAAGGTATATTCATTTTGAGTTTGCTACTCTAGTTATAGCTGTCATCTCTATTTCTTCTTTTTTATTTTATTTTATTTTTATTGAGTTTTCATGTAAGTTTCTTTCTGTGATGAAGAAAACCAACTAGTTGACACTTTCAGATTCGAATTTTTGCATGTATGCTTCTATAATAACCTCATCTTGTATTAGTAAAAGCCAGTTAGAGCTGTCGTATACATTTGTTGCTGCTATGGTAGCCCATGTCAAAGGGTGCTATAATATACATGCAGAAAGCTTTTTGGCTGATTGTATACCCAAGTAGAAAGGAAGGATTATCGAATCACATTAATTATTGGAAAGCTAACTCCCGCAAAGGACTTTTTGGCAGCTTTTACTTCTATTCAACTCAATTTTTTTCTTGGTATATGGATTACTCAATCTTTTGACCTTATGAATGCACGTCAAAAGGATTATGTCTTCCTATTGCTGCATCCTGGATCCTAACCTTTTGCAAGCACGTAGTGTCAAAAGGTTTTATCTTTCTGTTTGTCCCATGAAGCACAGATTTTTGCTATATGAAAAATTTGAAAAAGGTTTCTTGCTCCCTTTGTAAAATATGTTAAATATTTTAGTCCTTGCTAGCCAAATAGGAATTTCAAATCAATATTTGGAGTTGTTGGTTCTGCTTTATTGCCACATTTCAGTTCTAAGCAAGTATTCCAGGTTCTCCATGAATTTTAGTAATGTCAAATTACTTCTCTTGAATGATTAATGAACTTAGTTGTTTAAAGGAGTAGGGTTCAACAAATAACCGGTGCAACAAATAATATGCAACGGCGTGCTGGGAATATGTTACCTCCGCCAGTGGATGATTATTGCCCCAACAGTTCAGCATCTGCAGCAAAACCTATTGCTAAAAATGCTCCAAATGTAAGTCCATGTTTTTTAAATCCCCGAACAAAATAGCAAGTCAAATTATTACTCAAAGAATTTAGGAAAACAGTGAAGTGTTCTACCAAGCAGACCTCCTATCTTTTTAATATATATATATATATATATTTTTGTTTTTATCTTGGGGGGCATTGCAAGGAGAATTTGTCAAAGAATGGGGTGGGGTGGGTTAAAGCACCATGTATGCTTGGCGCCTGAACAAGTGCCTGCACCTGACTTTGGTTTTGATTTATATATGCTACAGAATACAACAGTGAGCATTCCTAAAGGTTCTCCTCCGAATGGAAGCTCTGGTAGATCTATTGCTCTTCCTGCTGGAGCATCATGGTATGTCATTTATTTATTTTCTCTCTTACTCTTTATTATGTTAATTGCTGGGGCTAAAAGTTCTGAATCCTTCTGCCAGGGGAATGCGTGCCTTAAACCATCCACAAATAGCTGGTTTAGCATGTTCAAATGGACCTTCTAAGCAGAAATCTGATGCGGTTAGCAGCACATTGCCATTTTCATCTGCTGTGGCAAACACAAATCAGGCTTCTACATTACATGGTGATGTTATAAAGAAGCCGTCTGAGGAAATTCATGCTATGCATATGAAGGGTAAACCTGATTTGTTAAAACCTTTAAAACAAAATGCTGGTTTAGATTGTCGAACTACTCCACTAGAGAAACCTACTTCACCTGACGTAGTTTCTGCTTCTAAATCATTGAGCAGCCAGTTATCTTGTCCACCACCATCCAATTATAATGATCAGTACACTAATATACCGTCAAATGTTCCAAGCTCCACCTTTGACCATGCTGAGCAGTCTTTTATTTCCCCCAGTGAAAAAGAGGGGAATATTTCCTCTACCGATGGGAAGATACAGAGCTTGTGCTCGGATATGTCAGCACTGACCTTAGATAGGAATGTCTTGAATGGGCTTTCCAGTGTAGTTAGACCAAGCAGTTCAGCTTCTGATCATGGATCAAGCAGCTCACCTGGTAGTCAGGGGTTACAACAACGTTATATTGATCAATATCGAGAACCTTTAAGTTCACCAGCTGCTGGGAGAACTGTGACATCTCCCAATGGGGTGTGTTTTTCAAAAGAGCAGTCTGATTGGAAGACTGATACACAAAATCAAGCAATGGCAAATACAACTTCTGAAGTAGAGGAAGACATATTGTCTTTTGATAATCAAAGACTCAAGGATCCTGAAGTCATTAGCCATTCCGGTTATGTGCCAAATTCACCAAGTTCGCTCCATTTATCAAATCATTCTCGGTCCCATTCTTTGCCTCATAATGAAGGTTTAGGTGCCATTAATTTGAATGCTGATACTCTCTTTGTAGATAATAAAATTAGTGACAGTTTACGTCCTCATGGATCTAGTGTTTCTTCTTTATCTAATGGATTCCCTGAGAAGTATATAAGCAGTAGTAGTATTGGTTCTGATAATACCACAGAAGGCTCCCTTCTCCTTCCAAATGAAGGGAAAGGGAAGCAGATGGGAAGATTCCTTGGTTTTGCTGAGAGCAATGCTGCTACAGATACAGGAGAGAGCAGTATAATCTCAAACATATTGTCGCTAGATTTTGATACATGGGATGAATCCCTAGCCTCACCTCAGAACTTGGCTAAGTTGTTTGGTGACACAGACAAGCAGCCCAGTTCTCTCAAATTATCTAGTTCCTGGAAAGGACAGAATAACAATCAGTCCAGATTCTCATTTGCGAGACAGGAGGATTCTAAATATCATCCATTTGATGTTGAGTCCTCATTTAGTGTCTTTGGGCAAATGCCAAGGGACCGTTCTTCCAGCCAAGATTTTGCAGAAAGCAGGGATCTCTATCTTAATAAGTTTGGAATTTCTAATGGTTTTTCTTCCAGTAACTTTGAGGAATCTGACAATTTTACCAGCAGTCCTTCAGTTTTCTCTTCTAATAAGCTTTCTGGTGAGTGTCTGCAACCTGCTATTGAACTTAGTGAACCTTACTTTTGCTGTCCAAATGTTGAGTTGAGTGGTTTCTGTTGTTTATGAATTATAATTATGAAACAAGCATGCTCATTATGTGATCTTTAATGTCGTTATCGATAAATTAGTTTATCAATAGAATTTTAATTTTATATGCACTGTTCCATGTTCTTCACTTGTAATTTGTTTTTCTGACTTCTGAGTACACCAAGTGACTTTTTGTGGTTGACTTCTTTTTGGCTAAATTGAGCATTGTTTCGTCATGTCATTTTTTCTTTTTGGATTTTGTGCAATTATGTTTTGATTTAGTTCATGCTGATCCTTATTCAATGTTTCTTAGCAGTGTCGAGAGCTCAAATTTCAGCCCCACCTGGATTCTCTGTTCCTAGCAGGGCACCACCTCCAGGCTTTTCTTCTCATGAGAGAGCAGACCATGCTTTTGACACCACATCTGGTAAGCTCTTTTTTATGTTTTTAGGCTATCAATATTTGGGAGTTTGTTGCCTGCAAAATAATGTTGACTGCTTTCTGTTTTTAGGAATTCATTTGATGGACAATTCCTCCCTGTTAAGAAATTCTTATCAGGCTCCGGCAAGTGGTGGTCTTGGTGGCTCTGGGGACATAGAATTTATGGATCCAGCAATTTTGGCAGTTGGTAAGGGTAGACTTCAGGGAGGGCTTAACAATTCAGGCTTAGACATGAGATCAAATTTTCCACCACAGTTAGGTCCTTATGAAAATGAGGCCAGATTTCAACTGTTGATGCGGAGATCTCTTTCTCCTCATCAGAACCTAAGATATGATGTTGGGGATAGCTTTTCTTCTCTTAATGACTCTTATGGAATTTCTTCTAGGCTAATCGATCAATCACAAGTGAACAATATGTCCCCATTCGCACAGTTGTCTCTTCAACAGGCAAGAAATTCACATATGTCAAATGGTCATTGGGATGGATGGAATGAGGTTCAGGGTGGAAACAGTCTCGGTGTGGCGGAGCTCCTCAGAAATGATAGAGTGGGATATAACAAGTTTTATTCCAGTTATGAAGATTCAAAGTACAGGATGCCTACTTCGGGGGATCTGTATAACAGAACATTTGGGATGTGATTTGGTTTGTTGGAATCGAGCTGTTGCTTAATTGGCAAATTCTATGTTAAAGAAGTAGAATGACTGTACTGTGTGCAATTTTGATTGCATTTTGAGGATGGAATGTGACTTGTAACTGGTCTCCATGGGCAGCCTCATGAAGGATCAAACTCCTGATAATTTGGGCCAAAAAGGCGCTGTCCGCAAACGAGCAGGTAATGAGGAAATATTTCAAGTTGTATTGTTTTTCACCTGCATTTACCCATATAGGTTATCTCTCGGGTTAATTGATTGGGGTTGCCTCGTATATCGCAGGTGAAGTGAGCCTTCTGCTACTCCGCATGTAATCTCCGCAGAGTGGTGTATATGATCTCTAACTAGCTGCCGGGTTGATCCTCCTGAAGCTGAATGTGAATGTTTTGCTAGTAAATTACCCTTGAAAAGTAAAATTTGGTGGTTGCTCTTTGCTCTTAACAACTACATAGAAGAATCTAAATTGGAACCCAATTTTACTTTTTTATGTTTTTTGCCCTATACTCCTACAGCTCACGGACATCCTCAGATATTTAATGAATTTTTAATTAATAGAGTTAAATTAATTATTTCGAGTTAGAAAAAGCTGCGAGGCTTTCCAGGCGAAGGGATTTACATTGATGCATCTCCAAACTTTTTATGTTGTTATTGAGTACGGCTAGCAAGTTGAAGAAAGGCACTTTAATATGTTTTGGTGTCAAGCCATTTTGTTTCTAAATAAAAATGGGTTATAACATATATAGTAGTAGTACCTATCATATTATTGTAATATATCAAAATATAAATTTTACTTCTCAAAATAAAATTGACAAATACGTGTACTAATATTACGGTTAATTCTGTAATAGGAACTTGCCCAGGGGTCCTAATTTTATATTACTTAAATTATTTTAATACCATTAAAGGTACAAGTCCTAAGGGGCATTGGGCGTGCTTGGATTTAATGGTGCTCGAGTCCAGTTATATCAAGGCCATGTATAATTGGGCCCTGAGTGCCTAATATATTGCTGGGAACGACGTGGTCTAACCAGTAGAACCCCACCCTAAAACTATACCATATTTAATTTCAATTTACTATCTTTATTTGATGATAATTACATATGAATAATGCACAGAATGCTTGTAGCAACTAGGGTTTGCAGGTGAGGATACAGAGATGAGAAGTAGGAAGGAATTTGATGAGGCAAATTTGGTCCATCCTTAGGTTTTTGATATGGGTGTGCTTAGCCCAAATCACACATGGCAAAACAGTGTTGTCTATTATTGATGAGAAGAAAAGCGACATAAAGATGAAAGGTGGGTGGGTTGGGTTCACTCTTCATTAACAGTACTTCGAACTACTTTTTGGTCTCCTTAAAAGAGATCACTGCTACCCTCTTTGTAATTATTATTATTTATCAAAAAAAAGAAAAAAGAAAGAACAAAGACAAAAAGTTGGCAGAAACAGGTGGCAGCCTAAACCCACATAACATAATAGAAAGTTACAAATGATGAGAAACTTCCTCCCCACCAATTTTGGGTGTCTCATTTCATACCACACATTCTTCGTTTGGATCATGCATTTTAAGCAATAAAAAGTGCCAAAAAAATAAAACCAAACTTCAAAATTATATATATATATATATATATATATATGTATGTATGTGCAACCCCACTTCTTCCTCTACCCTCATCTCATTCTCTTATTCAATCATGGCAAGAACACAAAAGTAGTATTGATTGTTTTTTTCTTTTCTTTTCATTAGAGTGTTGTCAGAAAGAATATAGGACAAGTTACCCCTCCAAACCAAAACCCAAAAAATAAAAATTGACATCCTTTTCTAATTCGAATGCCAATCAATAACTTATTATATTGCATATATCTATCACACATTACAAAGGACAAACAACAAACTCTAGATATTATACCCTGAATTTCATGGTTTTTACATGTACAACAAGATTTTAGGGAATTTTCAATCTTGGATTTATTTGAGTAAACCATCCCCATCCCTTTTTCTTCTTTGATTTTTGTGGTTGGACTTGATTGTACCAAGAGGATAGTCTTTCCTTGCTTTTTTATTTTTCAAAAAAATACGAATTTTCTAAGAATCTGTACTTGTTTGAAAGTTTTCGTAATCGAATTTAGAAGCACATGTTGGTGACGAGCAAAAATAAAATGTAGATAATTGCATGAAAAATGAAAGTATGGATAACATGATAATATGTAAATATGATATTGATATGACACTAATGTAATGCATTAATATATCATAATTGATAATAATATGATATATTAATATAATAAGATGATATAATTTTATTATATTTTTTACCTTACATATTAGTATCACGATAACATCACATAAACATAAATTGATAATAAATATTTTAATTAATTATAATTAGTTAATTATTAATTATAATAATTATTTTGATAAAAATAAAAATTTAAAGATTTAATTGAATATAATAAAAATTAATTTTTTAAAAAATCTTAAATAATTGTCAATGTTTTTTTAACATTATGTCTTCATATAATATCTATATATATATTTTTTTTTCAATAAATACGTTAAAATGAGACACGTGTTGAGATCGAGAGAGATAAATGACGAGTCAAGTTTTAAAGATTTACGAAGCAAATATAGAGATCGTAATTGTTGAAAAAATGATTATCGAAAAAATAATATTATTCAATTTATATATATATATATATTTATATTTATATGAGCAATGGAAACCGGCAAGTGGCAGGTGCAAATGGGAAAGATAAGGGAGAGATGGTGTTTGTGATTGATTTGACAAAACAAAGAAAGGAAGATTTGGATTAGCCTATGAACAGTAACATCAGATTTCTAATCTACCTTTTTTTTCCTTAAAAAAAAAAAAGAAAATACAGTAACATCAGAATCATGTGTTTGCACAGTTGGCTGCAAATGCTTTGGCAAAAAAGTTTTTAAAATGTATACGTGGCTCTTGTCTTAGCAATCTACTTGGTGGCCCAACAATGATGGCAATCCTGATTGCCCATCCAATCATGTTCCAAGGTGACAATGCTAGCTCACCCACCGGTTATCTTCAAATGAATAAGCATGCCAATTTGCCAAATAACCTAATACCTTTGCCAAGTATCTTTCCTAGTGGGTGTCCAATCTTTTCCCAATTTACTTTCCAACTGAAATCTTTTGTTTTCTTCCTTCTGGGGTTTTAGATTTTAATGATAACAGCTTGAGTTGATGAATAATAAATGGGTTAAAAAATTAAAAAAATAAAAACCCATTAATCAAATTAATCGTTTGTACTTAAATTTTTATTTTATTATATAAATCATCTCACCGTTCCTTTTTTTTCAAAATTTAATATTAAAATAAATAACGAGAAAACCCGACCCGACCCGAGACAAGAGAGTGAATGTTAAAAGAATATATACTCCTAGTGTATCATTGCTCTCATGAAAAACGTTGAATTGGGTTTTTATCGTATCCAAATAAACGAATGAAAATAGAAAAGCAGGGAAAACCAAATCCTTGGAGTTTTGAAGAGGCAACCATAATGTAAATGTTTATCCCAAGCCCAAGACTTTTGTTGGCATTGAAAAGGCAATTGGGGGGAAAGGGCAGCAGACCAACAAAGCTTTGCAACCATTGGTGTGTTCCTCCCCCCACTCGCAGAGTATAATGTTTAATGTGCTGCTTGCAGGTGGCTGTCCCCTCCCCCACAAAGATTTGTACAATCTCACACTTTTTTGGAGCACTGGTGAGGTACAAGTTCCAGCATAAACTTTGCTTGTTTTACGAGGTATAGTACAATATAATATGGGGACAGCGAGAGAGAGAGAAAACAAATTTTATAAGCTGGAAGAAGAGACTTTCCTATTTAAGCCTTGTACCAAAAGAATCACACTTCAGAATGGAATACTTTCCACATATGCGAGTTTCAATGCACTTGTGGGGGAAGTCCTGGCTGATGATTTCGCTCCACTAACAAGAATTCACTAAACAAGAATGTTAAAAAGGCCTTTGTGCTAGACAAACAGGAATCCAATTAGCATTTTCTAGAAACCGATATACATCCGACAGAGCAGTATTCTTAGTTTTATCAAACAAGTCAGAAATTATGTCTTAAAAGGGTATATCAATAAAATATTTTGAATCGTCGATCATACAATTAAAACTTAATACCGTTGCTCTTGTCATTGCGTTTCCAATGAAAAATGATGAGAAGCAGGGCTAAGGTGGTGCCTGTGGTGGCTTGATATGAAAATAGGTCTGCGGGGTGCTGGTCGCACCTGGTGAGGCAAAACATAGACTGTGGGTTGTTGGGTTGAGAGGTCTCGACGGGAGAATGGCAGCAGAGGGAGGGGTAGCCGAGAACGAGAATCCTGATGATGCTGCAGTAGAGAACAGTGGCATTGGCGTAACACTGACCTGACCATGCGTTTGCCATGCCCAATCGGGGAGACCTTGCGGAGGGCCTAATTCAACTCGTTTCACCGTTGCTCTTTCCTGCCAAACAAACCAAAAAACTTAGGGTTATGAAACCTGACAAACATAGGACTTGAGGAGGCAGGTTTTTCAGGACGGTATTCCATATCATACATAAGTAAGATGCACGATATCTAGTTTCTAAAAGGATGGAAGGAAACATAAATTTTCCATCAAGATGCCATGTTAAGTGAGACGTTGTGTCCATGAAATACAGATTACAGCAGGCAGCCATTATTTGGTTTCTTCTTAGTTATGACATGTTAACACCTTGCTTACCAAAAGACTAGGATAGTATTGAGATTATACTTTAACCATTAACATCTTACTACCATGCTACCCATCATTAACATTCCAATCTATAAATTAAACCCTTCAAACTTTCACATGTCCTTATCATACGTATTGAACATCACTGTTTGTACAGAAAAATAAGTTCATTTCACCCACAAAATTTAGGCAGAACCTATCAAATTGAACTGCCAATATGCGGTTGGTTTAGCAAGTCAAAGGAATTGACTGGATGTGGAAGTTGAATGTTTGGTGGAAAGTCCAAATGATGAAAGTATTGAACAAGGTTTAAAGATTCAGAAGCAAAGCAAAGAGGTTTACCTCACTAGGAAAGAATCTAGGATATCCACTATTCCAAAAAATAGGCTGATCTGATGCCCCCACTAGTCCTTTGATAGGTGGACCACCCACTGTTGCAGCACAAGGGTTCTCTGCCTGCAAAAGTAAATCATCGAGAATGTGAACAATCGACTCTATCAAGCTAAAATAGGGTCAAGATGCTTGATTTCATCCAAACATGCCAGACATATTTCTTAAAGCTAAAAGATAAGTGCTGTTAACAACATCTCATCCTAAAGCTCATTGAGGATATCAAGATTTACTGTTGTCTAGAAAGAGATGTCTAGGTTGACGAACAATCCTCTCAATGTGATGAAACATACAACAAGATCCAAACAAATCAATTCAAATTTTACCCTCAAACTCTTTGCACCATGCATGTCATAAGGGCCAGTATGGAAATGGAGATGCCCCTCATTTTCCTTGAGACCTTTGCCAACAGGTGGAGATATCCCCAGGTTCAGATCAAGGTTGTGATCATTGCCTGCATAAACAGCATCTGAACACAAGTTAACAACATCAGTTTCACAAACATTCTTCATGAAGCAACTACCTTGGTTAGAAGATTTTATTTACAACACTGTAGTATAAGAAGAAACCAGCAGCAATTAATACCTTCATTACTGGTATCAAAGGTCATCTCCCCTTCATATGAACTCGGCTCAAAGTTGGTGACCGCCTCCCTTCCATTACATTTGATAGCTGCCTTGTCATAAGCCCTGATTTCCAGAAAAATCAAAAGGTAGACATGTGTTGGATGGAACCCTATTGAGGTTGAGAATTCAGGGTAATAAATTCAGTATCAGGTAGAGTGTAATTCATGATCATTAGGACCTTGCAGCTTCTACTTCATTGTCGAATAGCCCAAGATAAATATACCTGCACGCAAGCATCGTAATCCCCACGATGAAACACCATCCCCAATTATTTTTCCTCTTTGAAATAGGCATCTTAGAATTATTTTTCCATTCAAGGAGAAAAACAAAAAACAATCCCACTGAGAATTAATTCAAAAAATCAATTCTCAGTTCGACACCAAGAGGCACTGAAACGTTTCAGATCTGTACTCCTAAATGATATGTTTGATCCAAAATTTAAATTTCCATGAAAAAGTTTCCTCACTTTTTGCCTAGGAATTGCCCCATCCGTGCTTCCCATCGGCCACATTTGTGCAGCGTCACCCCTCGATATTTTGAGCTTCCCCTGGAAAAACCAGTACTCTGGCGACGAAGAATGTGCACGAATTCTTCCTTGGTGAGATTCTTCATCTGCCCATCAACAAAAAAACAGGATAAAGCCCCAACTTAACTATCACCTCAAACAGTTTTAACTTCTATTCAAGCTTTATCAATTAACATCAGTTAACGGTATCCATATTGCAACCTGTGTCATATCCTCCTCATAATCACTGAGAGTGAAATTGATATCAGCATCAACACCTCGAAATTTGATAGCCGCTCGATCATAAGCTCTGTTTTGAACATACCCTGGTTTTAGATTACCCTAAGTTCAAAACAACTTCATAAGTAAACTAATTTAACATAATTTTTTCCCCGCAAGTTACCTAGCTGCAGCATGAGCAGTGTCAAATCCTCCTAGAAAATGAAAATTCAAACAAGAAAAAAGTTGATTAAAAAACATTCCAAAAATGGAAATAACAAAAAAATTTCCTTACAAGTAATATTGTCAACAAAATTAACCAATCACATCCATACCCAAATATACTTGTTTCCCGCAATCCCTGCAATAATAACAAGAACATAAATAAGAAAATAAACCCAAGAAAAAATTTAAAAGAAAATTCAGTTAAAAACCCATCAAAAGGAATTTCAACGGCTTTAACAGACCAAGTCAAAATTCAGTTACACCCCAAAAAGAAAAAACAATAACCAATCAGAAAATTCCCTTAATTAACAGAAGCAAAATTACCAAATATGGGATTCCCATCGTCCAGTTCTTCTATAGAAAGTAACTCCTCGATACTGTGAGCTTCTAGAGCGAGGTCCTCGACGGCTTTTCTTCACCGTCTGTGAAGCTTGTTGTTGCATCATCCGCGGTTCACCAGCTTCTTTCCTCTCGAACGAAAGATCGATCCATTTGTTGTTGTTACCATTTCCAGAGCTTTGCCCTTCACAACTTCCAAAATCCCCTCCAACTCCCTTCACAGGAAACAGCTCCTTAGTAACCACCATGGCTGCGTCGTCGTTTGGGTACTCGCTTCCGCCACTTCCGACTCTGAGTATGTCGAAACTTAGAGTGAACGCGTCTCCGTTGGCGCGTGTGGAGCACGATTCGTCGTCGTCGTTGACTACAGAGGAATTCGAGGTTCCGGATTCATCCATTTGGTTCCCAGAACCTTCATTGAACTTATCGGTGAAAGGAGCAGCCGAGTCGGAGTCCTGAGTCAACTCAGTCGACGCGGCATTGAGGTTAAGATCTAGCATTTCGTCTTAATTTCTTGTCGAATTCAGCTTTGACTCAGAAACCTTTTTAAAAATAAAACAAAAAATAAATAAACAATCAACTTCTCAGCTTCGAAACCAAAATCATCGGTCAGCGTTTCTTATCGCCACCCCAAAGTAATCAAATCCAACGGTGGAGATCGATCCGATCAAAACACTGAACCGAAGGTAAGAATTACGACCTTTACCACAAACAAAAGGAGTTTCGAATATTTAAAGACAAATGAAAATAACAAAAAACGTCGTAATCTTTCCTTCCCGGAGGGAGGAGGAGGAGGAGGAGGAGGAGGAGAGGCAAGAACTGAAAAAAGACGGCGTCGTTGAAAGCAGAAGCGAAGTTAAAATGCGGTTGGCATTATTGAATTACTCGGCGATTAGTTCATAAACAGCAACAGATGATCGCCGACTAACTGATTCCATACCAAAGAAGAGCGAAGAGATAGAGAGAGAGAGAAGGAGATGGGACGTGTGAGAGAACATTACAGAATGCAGACCCCATTTTTAAGAAGGGGGCAGTGGAATATATAAACATTTTCTCTCTCTTTTGTTCACCGGTTTGGCCGGTTACCCGTTCTTTGATATTGCCAAGGCGACTACGTAGAAGATTTTTTTTTTTCACTTCTTTTGGCTGCTGCTTCTTCCACTTCTTCTCTTGCTTTCATGGTACGTCTTCTTCGTGTGGTCTCGCGGATGGGAACAGCCGTCTACAACTATTGGCCGTACACATACACCAAAACAGAATTACTTCCTTTCTTTTTTCTTATAGCATGGTCACCGTAGTAAGTTACTGTAATACGATGATATATTTGTAATAAAAGTTCGGTCTTAACTCGATCATGTTATCAAAAAATATTTAAAAATTTATAATCAATTAAAATATTTTAATTTATATTTAATATTATGAATTATTTGTTTATGGTGTTCATTGGTGCAGGGATCGGTTATTAGAAGGTTAACAAAGACATCATTCAAATCCTGTCTCATTTTGATCATCTCTATTTGATTTTGATTTAAGAAAATAATATGAATTATTGAATTATGCATTAAAATTTTTAAAGTTTTCGTTATTGATGGTTGACGGATAATCGAACTTTTAAAAAGTTAATATAAAGATGGAAAGAAGTGAGACATCCAAATTTTTTTAAAAAAAATAGACATTTAGTGTGAGGAATTTCTAATTGAAAATTATAGAATGCATTGAAATCATGGGTTATGAGAAAAAAAGGTGAGATAGAGAGGTGGGCTGCTGAGTATTTTGTGGGATTCAAACTTTAATAATTGAAAGTTAGACTAAGCTCTATGTCCAATAATAGTACATGTAAGAGGTTAAAAGTTGAATAATTGATGTGATTAAAGATTGTGGAATCAGCCTTTTTGTATTATGAGATGATTTTTGTTATCTTTTCACAAAATGGGTTATTCAACTTATGTTGAATCAATTAGGGTTTTGAAAGGATTCTTTGGTACCACTTGGTGTGGGTGTTAATTTAGTCAATACCTTTGATGACTTACAATGAGAAATGAGATAATATCATTATCATTGTTATTATTATTATTATTGTATGCATTGAAACAAACAAAAAAAATGAAAAGCTTAATTGATAATCACGATTTAAAAGCAAAGAAGACTCATTTTTTAAAATTTTTTTGGATAAATTTAAATAGAAAGTACATTGAAACTTATGAACTTCAATCTTGTTATTGTTAGTAAGTATAATTAGATGAAAATCAACATTAGTATTAATTAAGGGTATTGATAATTAACGATTAATTGCAATTGTTGTTCGGTGAAAGCTCAAACTTGCATGTTCTTGACGTGGATAGTCTTACATTTGATTTTGCAATTGATAATTGTAACTATTATTAAATTTCTAAAATATCTTTTATTTAATTTATTAAAAAAATTTTCATTCAGTTAGTATTTTTTCTAATGTGTAAAGATAATAAATTCATTACGTGACATGAATTATGTCGAATAAATGAGGTAAACATCTCTTTTAATGATATATTGAATTTTTAAGATGGGTATTTAATTTAAAATTAATTAATAATAGATGAATATAGATTTATTGTATTTAAAATTTTAAAATACGAAAGGGTAAACAGTCACTGTGATGGTAAAAAAATATGTCCGATTTCGGCTGGTGTCCTACGTGTAAATGTAATTTAGGTGGGTGCATTCAAGTGGTCCAAACCACAGTAAGGCTAAGTGGACCATCGACTAATCTGCTGCCTCGTGCAGGAAAAGGAAATGATTAAGGTACGCTACTGACCACTGAGCATCAAATTTACTCTAAATCCGGACCACATGATTACGCCGCAGGGGTCAGGAATCACTTTCGCATATGCTTATTTTTGGCGTTGGTCTGATGATCATTTGGTTGACAAAGATTTCTAAACCTCTGATATTCCAATCAAATCGCTCTGGCCCCCTCCCCGATCGTTCATTGGACCTTTCCCCACTTTTATTCCTTTTCCTCTTGAGTTTTGACCCACCAGTCTAATCTTTAGCTAATAGTATGGTCCCCTGATCCAACGGTTAGGGTTTTTGCTCATTGTCAATACGGTCAGCTAATCGTACGGTCATGGATCATCAATTGCTATTTATTTTCATTTTATGCCATATTTAGTTTTTGTATCTTTCAATTTTATGAAAGTTTAAATGGAGCCGTAGCCTTAGCCGCACTTAATTATTATATTTGGTTCAATGATTCATGCATGATCTTTATTTAAAGAATATATTTTAATTTTTTTTCCATTTTATATAAAATCTGTTATATTTTTTAACTAGGAATATTTAGAATAAGTGTGTGTTTGACTTTACTCGCATATCAATTTTTAATTATGTATTAAACTCGAATTATCTTAACAATAAGATAATTAATTAGAAGGGGTAGTTTTTAAATTTAATACATTTTTAAATTATTGTATTAATATAAGTATATATCAATGTTTAGACTTTGTACTTATTATCAAACATACAAATCTTTGCTAAAATCAAAGTAGATATGCTTTATATTTAATCGAACGCCGTGATTGACCCCTACCAAATAATTTTGTGTCCATTGTCCATCAATTTCATGGGAAAAAAGGGTCTCATGCAACAGTTTTCTAGTGGCATGCTTTTTCTTTTTAAATGTTTTAATTTACATAAATTTAGTTTCATATGATCAATTAAAAAAATGTGATCGATGACTAAAATTCACATAAAAAATGTGATAAAAAATGAAAAGAAAAACTTTAATTACCAAAACCAATTTTACATTATATAATAGTTTGATTAGATTAAAACAACGTAAATATCGATTATATTAATTACTGATGTGATATGATATAATAGGATTATTAGAAATAATAAAAAAATCATTGATAATTTATAATAGTAACATGATAATCAAAATTATATTGACTTTTTTAATAATAATTAATTAAATATGAGTTTCGAATTTGTGGTATCAGGTGAGTAATTTTTTAAAATTTTTTGAGAAGGGAAGTTCAAAGTTGTTGGTTGTTTAAGATTTTTGTATTAAATAAATATTTCAATAATCTAAATTATGGGGCACATATTCATTAAAAAAATATAAGAAAAATTAAAAAAAGGTAAATACTACAATTAGTATTTTATGTTGTAAATGAGCGGGCAACAACCGCACACGTCGATGCCTGCCCGTGAGCAGGCCAGCTGTCAACCACTTGCTGCCCAAGCTGCCCTTCCCAAAACTAATTACTTCAATTCCCGTTGTGTCCCCAACATTAAAAAACACGTGGTTCTTCTTTTTGTTTTTAAATCCTCGCTTTTCTTTTTTGATTGTTAGTTGCGCTTTCTCCTCCCTCCGCCGTGAAGTAGTTAGTTAAGTTTCCTTACGTGAATTTACAGTACTACCCTCACTCTCAATTTTAAAAAAAAGTAAAATACCTCATTTATTAATTTTTTATTATTACGATTTTTTAGTTTAAATTATTTTAAATTATATTTTTAATATTTAAACAATAGTGAAACTAAAATTATAATGCTACGTGACTCAAGTGACACGTGAGCCTATGAACAAATGTTCACGATCTTAATAATCAATTAATTTTGTCCTAAAACTCGATTTAATAACCAAGGCTATTACTTAAAAACAATATTAAAGAAAATTAGCTAAACCAACAAAAAAACAAAAAAAAAACACAAAAGGTCTTGTTTTCAACTACATATCATTTTTAGGTAACCAATAATTTTTATAATTTTTGACATAACGAGACCAATCGAATACTAATGTTAATTTTTATTTTTGTTATTGCGAGCGATTTGGATTTGAAAAGAATAGAAAATGGACCGACAACAAAAACAATATAAATATATATATTTTTAATTATTCATGGACTGTTTATGGTTGTTTTCATGGTTATAAGCACAAGCAAAAAAAATTTTATTAAAAAAAAACATACAAGTGGTCGGTAAGGTGTTGCTTTCCTAGGACGGGAAGTTACCACGTTTATTAAAGAAATGTAAAGCGGCAAACTTTTTAATCATTAAGTTTGTAACAGCTTTAGTTGAAAATTTTGACTGCGAAGATCTCTTTTTGCAGCTATGGAATCTAGGAGGTTGGAAATTCTGGTTCTGGGCATCACAGGGGAACATTGTATGTAGACAAAATAAAAAAAATGTCTAACGTCTTGTTTCTTTTTCCTTTTTTGAGGTCCAATTTAATTGGTTGCCATGTACTTTGCCTATGACCATGTTGCTTAAAGTCTCATATTTTTGGCCTTTTGCAAGAGTTTCATAAGTGTCCTCAAATTCTTTCTCGTAAGAGAAAAATATGCTAAAATGCTTTAAATCAATTTTGTATGGGTAGCTGCATAGAAGGATTGTTCTAAACAATGACGGATTTAGAATTTTGCAAGAAGGGTGAATAGAAGGGAATTATGTAAAGTTATAAATAGAGTAAATGATTCAATCTAGAACAAAAATTAATCATTATTGAAGTAATATTACATTATAACATAAATTTGACCACCACTTTCAGTCCGCCCTTGGTTGTTAAGTCTTCATTTTTGCTCTCTGCCTTGTTTCTTTGGCTATTAGTTTGGGGTATTATATGCTATTTAGCAATGAAACAATTTCATATTTGGTAACAAAAAAAAATATAGTTTCATTTAAAATTAATGAAAATTAAATTTGATTTTTTTAAAAAAAAATTATTAGAATTTTAAGAATAACACAAACCCGAAAAATAAAACATTACAAAATAATAAAAAAATTGAAAAAAAATCCTTATTTTTTTAATCCATTAATTTTAAATTATATATATATATTAAATACATTCAATGGATAGATATGAAATTCTACATTTAAAACTCTCCGATCTAATTTTATTTTGAATCGTGTATATAAATTAATTTAAGGACTTTAACCAAATAAAACAAAAAAAAAAGGACATCTCGAAAAAGATTAAGTAAAAGATTTTGTCCGTCCTATGATGTACCAAAATATAAATCAATCAAATAATGAAAAGACTTTTGTCTACATT